AGGTCAAGAAACAACAACAATAAAAGTATTACCAAATAATTCATCTGTTGTTGGTATTGTTGTTGGCACGTTGGTCGGTGTTTTTAGCATTATTTTGATTGTGAGTATGTACTTAAATCGTGATAAGCTATGTGCTCGATTCGGGCGAATACCAAAAGCAACTGAAAGAGTTATTTATTTATATATAAATGACGAATCCGATGGTTATATTCAACTTATTGATGTGAGAGAACGAGCCTCATCGGCCTAGATGAATGATCAAAACGGTGTTAAATGTTCTTTTTTGTATAAAATCTTCTACTATTGATGTGCTCATAAATAAAAATAGAGGAATTTTGACAAACTTGTTTTCTAATTTTTCCATAATTAAAAATGACTTTCAATTATAAAGTAAACGATTCAAACTTGATTTCAAAACCGAGTACGTAAGACGAAATAACTCTTATATTTCCAGTTTTATTCAAAATTCATATGAAACAAGTACATTCAATTTCTTCATCAAATTCAGATGAAACTTATTTGAATGAAATCTTATTAAATGATAATTTAATTTGACTTTTTAAAAAAGGCATTGTCATCGAATAGAAATACTTGTATTAGAATATCATCATACAAAAAAAAAGCAAATCTCTTTTCCCGGAAAAGCAACATTGATTCTAATTGTATGACAGTAATGTACCAGTTTTTGGACACTACTTTCTGGAAAGCGAAAGAAAAAGAAACAGATAAGAACAACTGAAGAATGATCATATATATATATAAATGTGTGTAGTGGCATTGGAAGATAATAAGAAAAAAAGAAAATGATAATATAGAAAATTCCAATATACACAAAATAATATTAAAAAGAAAATCTCAATGTCAAATGGCACTGGATTCGAAGGTTTTAGAAAATAATACTGTTCGAGAGAAAATATTCATGACGATATATGATATAATTCAAGTTCACATTTTGTCTTTAATATATGTGGCAGTAATAATATACCATAGCTGGGCAGAGAACCAGGTAAGGCCTTTATATCTTACAAAGTTACACATCAAATTCTCATTTTCAAAAATACCGTTTGTTGAGGTCTTATAGATAAAAAAAAATGTAGAACAAATTGCAAAGGATGATATCAGTTGATATTCAGAATTTTTTTTCTAAAGATATACATTCGCATAAAAATGGTACGAATAAAAAGAAATCAATTTAAATAATCATTGAAAAAATTGTATTTATACTTCTTATTCTTGTACTTGTACTAAACTAAAACAAACGATTTACTTAGGAGTCCTATATCATTTGATTCTCATAATGATATTTACATGTTCTCTACTGTTGGTCTTAATGTTCTACATATCATCTTGCCAATGACTCAATTTTATCTCTTTCAAAGTTTTATACTGCAGAATGTGAAAGATGTGGATGGCATGAAAGTGTGATATAAATTTTATCAAGTTTTGAAATTTATGTATTTGACATAGATAACAACTGATTTATAATTAAAAATAACATCTTTAGTGACTATCAACTATTATAGTTACTATGTCCAGAAGTATTGTTCGAAACGCTTCTGTTTACAAAGTAGTTGGATTGTCACGATAAGTTGACAGAATACTTTGATATGACCATTTTATTTCATTTATCCATTGCGTTGATTTTGGTCTGTATCTCGACATTTCTTGTCTTTGCGTAGCTCGCTCCTTTCTTTCATCTGTCATGATTTGAATTGATAATGATGCTTTCTTTCTTTTTTTTTTATTTACGCTAATCCAATGAAAGAACTGGTGCCTAGGGAAGGCCTATCAGTACGAAAAATTTTTCGATCTTACAGCAATAGATAAAATAAAAAAGGGGGAGGAAGATATAATAGAAGCGAGACATTAGAGAAAGAATAGAATGAATAGAATAGATTACAATAAGAACGAGCACGAATAGAAACGACTGAGAAAGAAAGAAATGATCACGCCACATAAACTTGCATATCGAATAAGAGATAAATGAAGGAGAAAAACAAAAAAAAAAGTAACGATGCTTTCTTTCGTTTTCAACCAACACTCAGACGAAAACCATCATGACCATGACTACCACTATCATTGTCAAGATCAATGTCCATTTCTTTTATAACTAAGCGAATAACAACGATGATATAAATCTCTATTGACAGATGATAGCTGCTGTGTATAAGTAAAACTATAATAAACGCTTAGCAGTGAAATAAAAAAGTTGAGATGAGGAAAGAGACAGTTATACGTAAAATGAATATATATTTATATTTGTTAACAGTTGTCACTTTTTGCAATAGAATAAATTGTAACTGGTGACAGTCTTAATATGATTCAGAGATGTCCATCGCGGCTGGAAGTCTGTCGCGATGGTTCTTGAGAAATTCTTCGAAAATCTCATCCGTTACGATGCTAAATTAGCACAGTTAGATTGAATCCATCAGATTCACCACGATTCTGACTGGTGGACTTGTAGACGCTCAAATCGAGATGCAAACCCACACAATTTTACAATCTTTCTAAGAAAGAAGCTGTTGTTGTCGCCATGAACATCTCTGATATGGCCATAATCACACTATATAATATCTTTTATTGCTTACAAAAAATACGCAAGAGCAAAAAAAACACTAAAACTGAAAAAAAAAATCAAGCTTTCATCCTGACTTTGATGCCAAAGTATTGTAGCAAGATAGTTTATGAACTCTGCAGAATTTCCTCTCCACAGGACAAGACAGGACAGAACATAATGCGAAAATGTTGCTCTATTTTTAATTCCGTGAAATATACATTTTTTTGTCGATCCTATTGATTGAATGACTAATATCTTCTTTTTTCGGTGAATATAATAAATACAATATTTCGATGAAAAGAAGGGTCGACAAAAGTACATGTTAGCAAATAAATTCCGACAATATTATTACTTCATTTGTCTCAAGTATATGTGCGTTAATGGTTTCATGAAAACATTTCAAACATGATTTAACATTATTCGAAAATTTGTCAAATGAACTTTTTGTTGAAGTTTTTAGTTATCTATCTCATGTAGATATTGTATATAATTTTTCACAACTTAATAAACATTTTCAACATTTAATTCTTAATTATTGTTATACACTTGATTTTAAATCAGTGAATAAAACAAAATTTGATTATATTATTCAATAACATGACATTCATCGATGAAGATCATTACGTCTTCTAATGATGACAATACACCAAGTAGAACAATATATTTTTGTCAATCATTTTCATTTGTCGAAAATATCTCTCAATTAAAAACATCATCTTTATTATTAATATAAAACCTAACACGACATTGTTATTTTTATCACATTTGACATCATTTACTCATCTGATTTCATTTTCAATTCGATCTGTATGTGAAAAGACTATGTCACTTGTTGAATTATTCTTATTAATATATCTTGTTATCAATTCTTGTACGCATAGTAATTGAATGAAGGTATGAAATCAATAGTACAAGAATTCATATACAGGGTGTCCCAAAAGTCCGACATGAAAGTAAATTCAAATAACTTCACTATTTATCAAACTTAATCAACTGACTTTTTTTTTCATATAATAGGTACCATTGTAAAGTTTTTTTTAATACGAACAAACTTCACAAATACCGTTCAGAGTTATCATTTTTGACTGAAATATAAAATGTAGTCGGATTTTTTATTTCCAAAAAAATCACCATGTAATGTTTGTCTTTTCTTACTCTAATTTTTTTTGCATTTCTTGTAGTGTTTAGATCAACCAGATCTTGGACTGTCGGTTCTATGCATTTGTTTTGGTATTTCACTATAGGAAGAAGCCTAGTGATGTTAAGTCTAGTCATCACAAAGCTTAAGAAACTGCTTTGTTTCCGAACAGTGACTCGTATATAGAAGAAGTGAACCGATGTTATGATCTTCGTAATCACTAACCTTGCCATTGTTAGGCTTCTTCCTGTAGTGAAATACCAAAACAAATGCATAGAAACGACAGTACAAGATCTGATTGATCTAAACACTACAAGAAATGCAAAAAAATTTAGAGTAAGAAAAGACAAACATTGCATGGTGATTTTTTTGTGAAATCAAAAAATGACTGCTTTTTGTATTTCAGTCAAAAGTGATAACTCTGAACACTATTTGTGAAGTTTGTCCGTATCAAAAAGCTTCACAATAGTACCTATTATGTGAAAAAAAAATCAGTTGATTAAGTTTGATACATAGTAGAATTATTCAAATTTACTTTCAGATCGAACTTTTATGACATTTTGTATTTATTTTTGCACTTAAACGCTTAATTGACAACAACAATATGGCGCATAGCGATCCATTTATTGTTTATCGCTTTCTTTTTCTTTTTCTTTTTCTTTCCTTTTTGCTCTCGTTATCTCCCGCGTGTATAATTCGTTATGCAGTTGCTTGTGACTCATTTTCTCTGCCTATCGTGTAAAAGCTGCTTGTATTCCGTTAAAATTTAATATAATAAATTATGATAAAGATTTTAATTGAAACTATGATAGAAATAAATTTCCATCTTCTGATGTGTGATTTTTTGATCAAAACCAAATATATTCTATGAAAAATATGGTTTATATATCTTTAAAAATTCGTTCTTCTCTTGCTCTATGCCTCTAATCCTTTTTTTTTTGTCTTTTTGATTATTCAGATGGCTTCTCTTTAACATGATCATAAACAATTTGAGACCAGTTTCTTTTTTTTTTATCAGCTGACACTAATCTAGAACGATATATGTATCAAATACGTCACTTTAAACTCGGTTATTTTCCTTTGCATTATAACTTGTATTTCATGAGAAACAAAAGAAACTATTTACGTCTTTTTCCTTGCAGTAATTTTTTTTATTGTATAAACCTTAGTACGTTTATATGGGTCGATGTATCAAAATAGACACGACACAGTACAAAAATAAAACAATGATTAGTCTTATTTAGAAATAATTTTTTTCTTCTGACGCATACAAAATAATCGTAAGAGCTATTTTATTTATACAATATGAGTATCTCAACATATATCGATAATAATTTTACATTACTCGAAGCATTACCCAATGAAATTTTTCTCGAAATTTTTCAGTATCTAAATGGTGTAGATACTATCTATGCTTTTTCACAATTAAACAATCGTTTTCAACATTTACTTATCAAATATGTTAAGACATTTGATTTTAAATCTATAACTAAAGTTAAATTTGATTTTGTTACTCAACATCATGATATTCATCGATGGAGATCATTACGTCTTTCTGAAGATATTGAAACACCAGGACAAATTGGACTCTTTTGTCAATTATTTCCACTTCCTAAATATATATCACAAATACAATCACTTTCCATTTTAAATATGAAACCTAAATTTGCAAAAACAGTTCTATCACAACTTATATCATTTGATTATCTTATTTCATTAACAGTTACAACAATATGTGGAGAAAATATTCAACCATTTAAATTATCATCATTAAAACAACTTGTATTTACTGGATGTAAACATAATAATTGGATAAAAGTATGT